ATATGCTGCTCTAATAGAAAAATACCACAAATGGGATGGTTTGAACAAACAGGAGTTTATTCTCTTACAGTTTAGGAGAATAGAAGTCCAAGTTCAAAGTGCCAGCTCTAAGGGCTGTGTAAAAGCCCCTCAACCTTGGGGTTCAGCCCTGCCTCTTGCCCACTGAAGCTGGAGGCTTTCTGCACTCATGCAGTTGCTGGCTGCTGAGGCTGGCAAACCCAATGTTGACAAGTGGAAAGGCACAGTCTCAAGATTAGCAAACAACATGGCAGGCCACTAATTCAAGTTCAGAGATAGGCCCATGGCAGACTGCTAAATGAAGACTCAGGTACACGCAAAGTCCAAGCATGCAAAAAAAAAAAAAGCTAGAGACCTTCCTCAAAGTTGCTTCTTATATACTGGAAGCAGACCACAGCCCTAAAGCAGCTACTCAGCTGCTCACAGTAGATTCCACTGTAAAGTTGATTACCAGTCTCATCATGGGGAATACTACATCCAGCTGCCCAGCCACTCAACCAGGCCCAGCCAAGTTTATATGTATATATAAGATATATATATAGATATTTAAGATCTATCTGTCTGTCTATCTATCTATCTATCTATCTATCTATATCTATCCACTGCCATTGTGTTGATTCTGACTGATAGCCACCCACAGGGTTTCCAAGGCTGCAAATCTTTCCACAAGTAGATTGCCTCATTTTCCTTCCTTCCTTCTGTGGAGCAGCTGGTGGGTTTGAACCACCAACCTTCTTGTTAGCAGCCAAATGCTTTACCCATTGCACCACCAGGACTCCATATGTATATATATAAAACACTATATTTTAAGACAAAATGGAGTACATTTTATACAGATGATATCTGCCTCTTCAAAGAGATTAGTTTATTCTAGCGTGCTTCCTGTGTTTAGAAGAGTTTTGTCTTATCCCCCAATGGGGGGATTCTTTTTGGAAATTGCCTTCAGATTCTATTACAAATAAGAACTATTCCTCCTCTCAAAAAACATTTGGAGTAGTGAAAACACCATTATTTTATTTTTTAAAAAAAGCTTCTTACTTGCTGTGTGTGTCTGAGTAATCTCACCATTCACCCTGAGGTTTAGTTTTCTCAACTCTAAAATGGTAATACTAGTGCTACTTGTCTGCACTTCTCATTGTTTTGATGAATAAATGAATTAAATATCTAAAGTGCTTAGAATGATGCCTGGCAAATAATAATAATAATAACAAAACTCACAGCCATTGAGTCAGATCTGACTCATAGCGACCCCTCCTTGGGTTTCCAAGGCAGTATCATCACTACAGAAGTAGATTGCTCAATCTTCCTTCCAAGGAGTGGCTGGTGGGTTTGAACTGCCAGCCTCTGGTTAGCAGTCAAATGCCTGAGGCACTACGCCACCAGAGCTCCTAATAAGTACTGTAGACCCTTGCTATTTTCTCCTTTCCCTCTTCTGTTTCTTCTTATTAGTCCTCTAATGCTCACAACAATTCTATGAAGGTGGTAATATTACTTTTACCTTCTGGCTAATTAGTCCTGACTGTTTTATATAACTTTGAGCTTCTCCTTCTTTTTCTGCTTCACCAATCCTCCTCCTTCTCCTTTCTTCTTCTTCTAATTCTTCCCCACCTGTTCTTCCTCCTCTTCCTACTCATCTGCCTCCTCCTTTTATAACTACCACTACCTGTCCTCCACTCAGACTCCCTTAATCTTTCCACTCTTTTTACCAGTTTTGATTCCATATTAACTTTATTATTATTAACAAATAGCAATAATTATAATATTATTATCAACAAATGATTTTTGGTTGTGTCTACAGATGAAAACATTACTCAAAGATGAAGATTTGAACTAGTGAAACAGTGAAAAGATGTGTTTCAAGATCTAAAGGCAATTCTGAAAGAATTGTTTCAAAAGTATTTTCATTAATAAACCAAACTTAAAACCATCAAGACAATTCCAACTCATAGTGACCCCCATTAGGTTTCCAGGGCTGTAAATCTTTATGGAAGCAGACTGCCTCATCTTTATTTCACAGAGTGGCTGGTGGGCTTGAACCACTGACCTTTTAGTTAACAGCCAAATGCCTTTACCACTACACCACCGGTGCTCCTTATTTGGTTATATATCATGTTTAAAAAATAATAATAAAGAAAAATCAGCCATATACTTGTTTATCCAAGTTGCCTAAGTTTTTTTTTTCTTTTTTTAAATTTTTTATTGTGATTTGGCTGAAAATTTACAGAGCAAATTCACTTTCCATACAGCAGCTCACATACACTTTGTCTCATGACATTGACTGCAATTTCCCACAATACAACAGCTCCCCTCCACCATCCTCCCCATACCTCTTCCCTGTGTCCTTTTCTCCCATGCACACCTGCCCCCCAAACTGTCTCCCTGTGCATACACACCCTTCTATTCTTCCATGATTGATCTCTCCAAGCTGTGTATCTACCTAATGTAAACGTTCAGCGCATATTCCTGTCTTTTGTTTGTCTGGAAGCCTCAGAAGTGGGTTCAATTCCAGTCCTAAAGGGCAACTAGGGGCCATAGTCTCAGTGGTTCCACCAGGCTCTATCAGACCACCAAACCTGGTCCTTTTACTTTTCTTTTTTATATTATTTTGAGTTTTGTTCCACATTGTTCTCCCACTTTATCTAGGCTCTCCACAGATATCCCCCTCTGAGTGGTTGATAGTGGTAGCTGGGCACCATTTAGTTCTTCTGGTCTCATTGTCACATAGGCTGAGAACCACATGGTGTACTAGTCACTTGGACTAATTGTTTCCATGAATCTTTGGTTTTCTTCATTCATTTTTGCTCTGGATGAGGAGAGATCCATCATTGCGTCTAGATGGCCACTTGCAAGCTTGTAAGATCCCAGTCACTACTTGCCAAAATAGGATTTGGAACAATATTTTGTGTAGTATGTTATGCCAATTGAGCTTGATGTCCACTGTGACTATAGTACTGGGCCCACCGGTGCAACTGCTCGCTTCCTCTGGATACCTGGCTGTGCCCAAGAAGTGACTACAACCTTGCTCCTTGTCAGCTCTACTATATACCCAGGAATTCTTACAGAACGTACAAATATAGAAACATTGTCCACCCAACCCTATATGTGGTCTTGGGCACACTGCCCCCTGCATGGACATACCTAATAGTTCAGCCTATCCACCCATCTGTCTGCCCATATACCAATGTTTGCCTTCACTGACAATGTGGTACTATATGTGCAAAATTATTCATCTTTGCTGTCTGAACCTTCCATGCACCTCTCTATGTTTTCCTCTTCCTCAATGCCACAGTGTTGATTACTCATGTTTGGTGTATTGCCCTTCTCTTCACCCAAATCAATACTTATCTCTACCTATCTAACAGTCCCTCCCCTCTGTTCCCACCCCTGGTGACCAACAAAGAAAATTTCTTTCCATATATAAACCTTTCCTTGACTTTTTGCAATAATGAACTAATACAGTATTTGTCCATCTGTGATTGACTTATTTTACTGAACATAATGTCCTCCAAGTTCATCCATGTTATGTAGTGTATTGTTGATTCTATGCTATTCTTTAGGGTTGCATAGTATTTCATTGTGTGTATGTACCATAGTTTGGTTATCTGTTCTTTTGTTGATGGGCACCTAGGTTGTTTCCATCTTTTGGCTATTGTAAATAGTGCTGCAGTGAACATGGGTGTGCATATATCTGTTCTTGTCCTGGCTCTCACTTCTTTAGGATATATAGCTAGTAATGGAATGGCTGGGTATTATAGCATTTCTAATTCCAACTTTTGAAGGAATCACCATACTGCTTTCCACAGTGGTTGTATCATTTGATAGTCCCACCAGCAGTGTATGAGAGTCCCAATCTCTCCACAACCTTTCCTGCATTTGTTATTTTCTGTCTTATTGAACTTTGCTACTACTGTTGGGGAAGATGATATCTAATTATTTTGATTTGCATCTCTCTAATGGCTAATGATTATGAGCATTTCTTCACATGTTTGTTGGCCACCTGAATATCCTCTTTGGTGAGGTGTCTATTCATGCCTTCTGTCCATTTTTTAACTGGATTATTGTCTTTTTGTTGTTGAGGTGTTGGAGTTTTCTATAAATTCTAGAGATAAACCCTTTCCAGATATGTCATTGCTCAATATCTGTTCCCAATCTGTAGGTTCTCTTTTGATTCTTTTGGAGAAGTCTTTGGAAACACATAAAAATTTAATTTTTAGAAGGTTGCATTCATCTAGTTTATCTTCCACTATTTATGCATTTTGGGTTATGCTTGATAGTCTATTTGTACCATATATTGTTGTTGTTGTTGTTTTATGCCATCAAGTCAGACCCAACTCATAGCAACCCCTCCTTGGATTTCTGAGGCAGTATCACAATGGAAATAGATTGCCCAACCTTCCTTCCAAGGAGTGGCTGGTGGATGTGAACCACCAGCCTTCTCATTAGCAGTCAAGTGTCTTAGGCACTATGCTACCAGAGCTCCCATACCACATATTAGGGCCCCTAAATTTGCCCATAGTTTTTCCTTGAGGAACTTTCTAGTTTTAGGTTTCACATTTGAGTCTTTGATCCATCTGGAGTTAGTTACTGTGTATGGTGTGAGGTACAGATCTTGTTTCATTTTTCTGCAAATGAATATCCAGTTTTGCCAGGGCCATTTGTTAAACAGGGAGCTCTGGTTGTGTAGTGCCTAAGGCATTTGACTGCTAACCAGAAGGCTGGCAGTTCAAACCCACCAACCACTCCTCGGAAGGAAGATTGGGCAATCTACTTCTGTAGTGATACTGCTTCGGAAACCCAAGGAGGGGTCGCTATGAGTCGGATATATCTCGATGGCAATAAGTTTGGTTTGGTTGTCCACTATGAAGTAATTTATGTTGTAATCATTTGTCTCTTACAATACATAACCCATCTTTTACTTCTCTGTATCTCTTAGACTTTCAAGAAATTGATAATCATGTGCATTGATTTTCTGCTACTTACAGGATGACAAAAGAGAATCAAGTTCATGTTCCTGTTTGAAGGGGCCCAAATTGTCAGAAATAGGGACAATTGCCTGGATGATAACGCTCTGTGATGCCCTCCACAATTTCATTGATGGCCTGGCGATTGGGGCTTCCTTCACCTTGTCTCTCCTTCAGGGACTTAGCACCTCAATAGCAATCCTGTGTGAAGAGTTTCCTCATGAGCTAGGTAAGAGAATGATATCCTTTAGGTGACAAGCTCTTAGAATCTTGCTGCTGTGCCAGAATGAAGGACTATTTGTTGGATCTTGATGATTATCTTTCATCTCATTAAAAATTTTCTTCTTCTTCTTCTAGGGGACTTTGTGATTCTACTCAATGCAGGGATGAGCACTCGACAAGCTTTGCTATTCAACTTTCTTTCTGCATGTTCCTGCTATGTTGGGCTAGCTTTTGGCATTTTGGTGGGCAACAATTTTGCCCCAAATATCATCTTTGCACTAGCTGGAGGCATGTTCCTCTATATTTCTCTGGCAGATATGGTAAGAAAATTAAAAATATTGTTTTGCTTTAATTTAAAATTTACATCTAGGTATTTCTGTTTTCCACAGTCTGCAAGGCTTTTTTATTGTTATTTAGAACATTCTCAGAATAGATGACTTTTCATGAGTAGTTTATGCTTAATAGTAATTTGAAAGTGAATTCTGTTGATTCTTTCATCTATAATCTTATTGATTGATGATGAAATGCTTTACTTTTGGTGAATTAGAGATATTTTCCTATGTCTCCTTTTGCCTCATTGTGGGTAAACTTTGTCTTCTATTATGTTATTGCCAGCAGCCACTTAGTCATTCCCCATGGGATGGCAATCCCATCTACAGTAGAACAAAGTGCTGCCTGGTGCTGTGTCATCCCATGATCAGCAGATCAGACTGTTGTGAACCATAGGGGTTTCATTGGCTGATTTTTGGATGTAGATCATCTCCTACTTTTAGTCTGAAGGCTCTGATGAAACCTGTTCAGCATCACAGCAACATGCAATTCACTACATACTGATGGGTGGTAGCTATGCATGAAGTGCCTTGGCCCAGAATTGAACCTGGGTCTCCTTCATGGATAGTGAGTTTCTACTACTGAACCACCAATGCCCTGTCTTCTATTATTATATGTCTCTAATTAGAAGAGGAACAGCTTACTAGAGTAAATAATATTTTATTTTTTCAAAGATCTAAATGAAGACTTTTGGGCTAAACTAAACCTGGTAAAATTAAAATTGGACAATATTTATTTGGGTCAGTATATATTTGTAGCTATGTTTATGTTTATGCTGTATACGTCTTTATTTATAACTGAGTGTATGTATGTATGTATGTGTGTATGAGAGTGTACGGATGGTCCTGTGTGTGTGTGTGCATGTGTGTGTAAGAGTGCATGTCAGTGATCCTGTAAATTTCCAAATGAATGGAATCATGGACGGCTTACTAGAAAATGAAAATGTGTTAAGTGTATGAGAATCAAGGAATATTTCCTTTGCATTTGGAATGGAATATGCATCACATACATAATCCAATCACTTAATTTCCTGCCTCTTGTGTTCTTGGCTCCAAATTGTGGTCATCTAGCTCTATTCTTTGTTCTGTGCAGAGTAAGGCTATTATCTGGCAGGACCACTATTGCACCTGTTGTTTTCTTCATAGAATCACTGTCTCACCTTGTCTTTATTAGAGATCATCATTTCCATCTCACATAAGGACAGAATCTATTAGTTATCCAGTTTAAAGAAATAAAAATAATAAATGATGCCATAAAACTTAACAGTAGATTTGCTTTTAAAAATGGTGTCACATCTTTCAGTCATTTTTATCCTAGTAACTATTTTCTTAAGTTAGGCACATCGATTGAGGATTCTAAAAACCTCTAGATACATTACATTACAATATGTATACCAAATCATTTTGGAGTATATTTAGAAAATTTTTATTTACAGATCTCTTCATGTAGCCTTTTTGTTAGTAGTGATCTGCTGAGAAAGGGTGGATTTGAAGCACAGGACTTGAGGTTTTTATTGTTTTCACTGCAATGAGACTATTATAGTCTTCAATGCCAATACATAATTTATTTAAAAACTTTATGTTTCTGTGAGGGTAGAGCATGCATGAAAAAGCAAAATGGAAAAGATCAAGGATAAAAAGCATAAGGATTTCTTAAAAATATATTCAGTCACTATTTATTGATATTTCTGCACCCAAACTAGAAATATGTAAGACACTGGGGACACTGCATTCATGGGTCTCTTTTTCTGCAGAGAAGGAAGCCAGAAATTTACACACACATACACACACACAAATAAGTAAGTAATTACAAATAATAAAAACAAACTATGAAAGAAAAGGAAAAGTAATATATATATAATGATAGATGATAATGAGGGTGGGGTGGGTAGTGTTGGGGAATCTAATATAAATTTGGAGGAGCTAAGGAAAGTGTCTCTAAGAAGGTATTATTTAATCTGAGACCTGAAGAATTTAGCCCATTGAAAAACTGGAGAGGGAAGAGTCCAGGTGGAGGTTAGGGCATGTGTGAAGACTTTGAGGCAGATAATAACTAGATACATATGGGGTTCTGAAAGAAGGTTGTGAATAGAACACGGAGAAGAAGGTAGGAGGATAAGAGGGAGAGAAAGAGGAATAAAGGGAGTGAATGAGAGGCAATATCTCATTCAATTGATTGGGACAATTGAAAAAAGAACAGTACTATTTCAGTACTTTTCCTTATGTTGATTGATGATAGGACTGGGTATTCGTATTTTGCTATCTATGTTAAAACATTTAAGCATCTGGAATCAATGATCATTTTAATTCCACAGAAATCTATTAAAGAGTATTTTATGTTTTACCACAAGATGGCAACAGTTATCTAACAGTGTATCTTTCTTCTAGTTTCCTGAGATGAATGATATGCTGAGAGAAAAGGTAACTGGAAGAAAAACGGATTTCACCTTCTTCATGATTCAGAATGCTGGAATGTTAACTGGATTTATAGCCATTCTGCTTATTACCTTGTTTGCAGGAGACATTGAATTGGAGTAAAAGGAAATGAAAGATGGTGCTGTTGATGAAGGCATTTAATAAATAAAACATCTCCAAAGGGATTTTTAAGCTGACCTTACTTAGTTAAAAGATAATTTTATTTTCAATTGTAGGTCAAGAAAACTAATTATCGGCTTTGGATCGATGAACTAGACCATTATTTGTTGTAAATGCTTAAAAAGGTTTTCAGTTCCTGTTTGAGGTGGTTGGTATATGGGATCTTTGGTCAATACCCATTTTTCTATGTCACATTACATGCGTATTAGAAAATCATCATGAAGTAAGAGACATGCATTCTATAATCTTTCAGACACCAGGACCCAGAGAAAAATACAAGGTAGGATCAGAGGTTCAAATGATTTCAGAGTGGTTCAATTTCAATTAAAACGAGATTGTTCTGATGCTTTCAAGGAGAGGTACATCAAACTGTGGGAGAGAAAATGTATGCAACACAGATTCAAAGGATTCCAGGCCTTAATGAACCCAAAAAGGAAAGATTGCTCATAGTTTTTGTTGCTTTATACATATTTCAGTTAGGGACTTGTAGGATTGTTTTGAAAGCCATTTTACAAAAATATGAATTATGAAATCAATAAAGTTTTATAATTCTACTAAGGTCAGACTTAGTCTGATTCTTTATTTCTAAGTATGTTCTCTAGTAGAATTCATAAAAAAACAGAATTGCTTTTTTTTTGACATACGTTATGGCAAAACATTATGTAAAGCTGATGGAAACTCAGTTTCAGTGTACAATGTATTTGATTTGTGAAGGTGGAGAATATATTGGTTTGTAGAAAGAAATTGATAACATTTTAAGCAATCTATTTTTAAAGATGAGCACGATTATTTAGCAAAGAATTTTTTTAAATAAATGAGAAGTAACAGCTGGCTGTTGTACCTCAAGGATTAATTAACTAGACAACATACATTTCTTAAGGGTGATTGGGAAAAATGTACAAAAGATTTCTTTTGTGTTCTGTCAAGGTATACCTTGAGTGGGGGTAGGCATGGGAGTCAGCACACCGTGGTTATTTTTCAACCTTTGTGATCATTATTAGACGTCGTGGAGTCAGCTCCAGATTCATGGCAATCTCACGTACAATGGAATGAGATGCAGCCTGGTCCTGTGTCATCCCCATGGTTGATGACTGATTGGACCCTTGTGATACATGTGTTTATTCATTTAGCAGGTATAGGAAGTTGGTCTAAATTTGAGCATCCTAACCTGAATTTTAGACTCCCAAATTAGGGAAAGATGATTTAGCAATAAGGAAAATGATTGATAAAAGCCAACAATGATCTCAGGAATTACATTGTTCCATGAGCCATGAAATGTTCTCACATAGGAATAATGCAGATTTGATAAACATTTAATATATATTCATTTATATGTTGTGTTATGACTGACAATTAGGAAAACTAATTTTTGACCAAATAGTAAACACTTTTGAAACTGTGAATTGTGTTATTCATTAATTATTTATTATATATCTTCTCAAATGCCTACCATGTACTAGGAATTATGGGAGAGAGAGATACATGGGAATAAGTGATTATTTCAAAGATATTCAAAGAGTGAATACTGCAAAAATTTATCATTATTCATTAATATCAATAAGCAGAATCTATTTTTATTTTATCTGTTTACATTAAACCTTAGGAAATAATCCTTACTTTTTTAAAGCATATTATATGTATGAAATAAGAAGCTAGTTACAACTGAATATTAAAACAAGACAGTTTAACCAACTCTTAGTATAGATCACTGTGTATGTGGATTGTTTGTATGCTTTTGTTATTCTCTATTTGTTTGTTGTTGTTGTTAGGTGACTTCGAATTGTCTCTGACCCATAGCGACTCTGTGTACAACAGATTGAAACCTTCTCAGTCCTGTGCCAGCCTCATGATCCTTGCTATATCTGAGCCCATCATTGCAGCCACTGTATCAATTGATCTTTTGAGGGCCTTCCCCTTCCTCGTTGTCCCTCCACTTTAAGCGTGATATCCTTCTCAGGGAATGGTCCCTTCTGAAAACATGACCAAAGTAGGTGAGATGAAGTCTGGCCATTCTTGTTTCCAAGGAGCATTCTGGCTGCACTTCTTCCAGGACAGATTTGTTAGTTCTTTTGGCAGTCCATGGTGTTTTCAGTTATCTTTACCAACACCACAACTCAAAAGCATCAACTCTTCTTTGGTCTTCCTTATTCATTGTCCAGCTCTCACATACATACAAAATGATAGAAAATACCATGGCTTGGGTTAGGTGCATCTTAGTCTTCAAGGAGGCATCTTTGCTGTTCAGCACTTGAAAGAGGTCTTTTGGAGCAGATTTGGCCAGTGCAATAAATCTTCTGATATCTCGACTGCTGCTTCCATTGATGTTGATCATAGAACCAAGTAATATGAAGTCTTTGACAACTTCGAACTTTTCTCCATTTATTGTGATGCTACTTACTGGTCCAGTTGTGAGGATTTTTGTTTTCTTTATATTGAGGTGCAATCCATACTGCAGACTATAGTCTTCAATCTTCATCAGTAAGTGCTTCAAGTCATCTTCACTTTTAGCAAGCAAAGTTGTATTGTCTGCATATTGCGGGTTGTTAGTGAGTCTTCCTCCAATCCTGATGCCACATTCTTGTTCATATAGTTCAGCTTCTCGGATTATCTGCTCAGTAAACGTATTCAACAAGTATGGTGAAAGGATACAATCCTGACACATTCCCTTCCTGATTTTAAACCATATAGTATCCCCTTGTTCTGTCTATGTACAGATTCCTCATGAGTACAGTTAAGTGTTCTGGAATTCCCATTTTTCTCAATATTCATAATTTGTTATGATCCACACAATTGAATGCTTTTGCATAGTCAAGAAAACACAAGTAAACATCTTTCTGATACATACTTTCAGCCAAGATCCATCTGGTATTAGCTGTGATATCCCTGGTTCTACATCCTCTCCGGAATCCAGCTTGCATTTCTGGAAGTTCTCTGTCAATGTACTGCTGCATTCTTTTTTGAATTATCTTCAGCAAGATTTTACTTGCATGTGATAATAATGATATTGTTCAATAATTTCCACATTCTCTGGGATC